ATATTCTTACTTCAACATCCATGTTTTAAAGACAAAAATGTATTACACAAGCAGAAGACTGAAGACAAGATACGAAATAAAACATTATGCTATCACACATAATATATACTGATACCCGTACAATCAATGAGTGAATTAAATCATCATTGATTATGGAATAGTAATCGATTATTGATTACTTATGATTGATTTGTGACCTATTGCTGATTGTTTATCACTTATCAATGAGCGCCAATCTCTAAGTGATTGATAATGTGCATATGAACTGTCTTAACGAATAATGAAGAGATTTATTTGTTTAGTTTTGTAAATAAGTTTATTTTGATCCCTTATCAAGTATTTCTTGATTTCATTTCAAACAGTCAGTTAAGATTGTTTGTAAAGACTGCATGTGATAGAATTTATATTCTAAATAACCTTTCATTTTGTATCGACCCCTGATTGTACGAAAAATCATGTTTTAGTCATGTAACAGATGATCATATTAATAAAGGTGCATTATGTAAGATTTAGTTTAGTTTAGTTAAAAAGCTGATAAATATTCATTCACTTTGATTCACTCACTCCTTTCGTTTGACACTTATCTCTGATATCGTAAACTAGTGATTTGGCGACAAGCGGTATCTGGTAAACTCTATTTATCCCAATGATCAGTGACTTGAATATTGCCAGACTGCAGTTCCGGCAGTCTATTTTTCAAATTTTCGGTGGCTTCGTTGAGGTTCGCAAGTCTGTTCGTTTGACACTTTCCTCTCTGGTCGGATAAACTAGTCCTGCAGGTGACAGGCGGTATCTGGTCAATTCTATTTATCTCTACAATCGGTGCCTAAATACTGTATGATTGTATTTCCGGCTGTTTATTTTCCAAATTTTTCCGAAATTTACTTTGGCGCACAGTGCCTGAAATACTGCCAGACTGTATTTCCGACAGACTATTTTTCTAAAATTTCTGGAGGAGACCCCCCCCCCCATACCCCTAGTTGAAGCTCGCGCCTTTGCCCACTTAACCTTGGACTTTTCCCCAGCTTTGTCCCTCCAGGGCTATTCTTAATTATTTAATATATCGTAGCTGTCCCCAAAATATAATTACATTAGCATATTGTATCTCTGATTATAGTTTAAAAAAATGAGTAATTTGTCGAAATAATGACATCAACAAATATTTGACAGTGAATTAGTGTTCGGATATTAGAACACGAATACTATTCGAATATTCGATGTTCTTGAAATTGTATTCGAATAGTATTCGAATGCTATTCGAATGCTATTCGAATATTTTCAATATATTTAAAGTGGTTTATATTCAATTTATTATAATTCCTAATCAATTATTAAATAAGTGAAATCTCTGTTCACTCGTGATCAATGCACCAGATAATATTTTAGCAATTGCCAGTGGATCTTTTACGTAAACTGCCAATTTGTGCACAAGAACTCGGCCTTCCACGACATCAAAACAAGTTTTCCATCACCAAATGTATAGGGATTCTTCCGCGCTGCATCCGAAATGAAAGGCATCTCTTTCATTCGTGGGTCTAGCACTGCATCAATTTCTATCTTTTTTTCGGAAATCATTGTCGTCTAGTAGTTGCTTCCATATAAGCAGAAAATAGTCTCTTCATGTTGGTGATGAATGTAGGTTCACCCAGCTGTTTCTTCATGACGAATCCAAGTAAATCCACTACAATGACATAATATATGACGTTGTACAGTGAGTTTCCCTACACATTTCGTTGGCTGAGGATTAACTGGTTCTATGTCCACTTTTTGTCAAACTGAGAAAAATAGGTGTGAAGTTTTGCATCGCTGTATTTTGAAACTCATTGAATTTTTACCAAATTTTCACTGTTGACAATATAAGCAGCTGGCAGGGTGTGCGGTGCTTTTTAATGCAGTGGTATCCGATCTGGTCAAACCGAAATACGATAAATGGAGATGGGACTTTGTGACTTACAAAATTTTATGAATTTGTCAGGCACAAAGTTCTATCTAGGAGGTAGAACCTTGTGTCTCAAGACGATCCGAATCACATAGTTCTATATGCAGCCTCATTGTTTAAAAAAAAAAACCTAACCGTAAACTGGAGCAACTCTAGCCCAGGAATTACATTGTCACAGGTTCAGAATCCTTCTATTTGTGTAAAACATATTTAGCCTATGCCAAAGTAACCCCTTAGGTCTAAAGTTACTCTGGTTTACAGGAGAACAAAATGGGTTTAATTCATGAAAATTACTATTGAAATCCATGCTACATTTTCGCCTGACGAAGATCAACCATGAGTGTCAATTTATTGAATAGCTACAAAAATATGATTTCGGAAAAAGTACCACATAACACTCTCAAGCATTAAAACAAAAAGCCTTTTCCGGCCCAAAATTTAACGAAGAGAAAGCATTGTCCACTGATTGGACAGGTAACCTCACCCTTAGCTTACCGCCAAGGACATGTATATTTGATAAAGATCATAAATATATTACACTGTAAGCCTATGATGGTAGGGAGCCATGGTGGCCAAGTGGCTCGCTAGGCTGGAGGAAGCGGCTGTCTAGTCGTTCGGATGGGTCGAAAAACTGAGTTCCCGTGTCTGGCATGTACGTAAAAGATCCCTTGGGCTTGATGTCAACTAGTTCCATCTCCATCATTATGCACTGAACTACTGTGTACGATCATTCAAAATAAAAATAGGGTTTCAACAAAACATTAGGCCTAAGCTGTCTTAAATTGCCTAACAATCTACCTTTCTGACAGATTAAGAATTTCATTCTGGGACAATATTCTGAGGGCCATACGGCAAGTTTTCTGCTCTAGAAATACAGCCATGCTGGTGTCTCTTTCGGCCATTTTGTCAAAAGACCACATGACACCAGACCCAGGAATTATATTGGTGAAAGTGGACATAGAACTTTGTGAGGGGGAATGGATTGAAATTTAAACAAAGGCCTATGTGTTTTTTGGCAATTTAACCTAGAGGGCGCTTCTGAATTAAATCATGCTCACAGTACATAGCACCTGTTGATTCAAAGATAGTTTTTATGCAAATATCTCATTTTTAGTGAAAAGTGGACATAGAACCAGTTAATCCTCAGCCAACAATTTGTTCAGATAGACATTTTCCACTTGTTCGCTCTGCACGTGGTGCGTTTAATTATTTGATATTGTTTATATTTACCAAATACATTTTGATGTATCTTCGACCGGAAGTCTAGAGTAGGCCTACTGCGATAATTATTATAACACGGGCGTTCTGCTTTAAATATGAGTGAGTGAGATTGAGAGAGAGAGAGGGAGAGAAATGGGGTTAAACGTCCACTCGACACAAATTATTTCATTTCGCGACTAACATATGGTTCAATTTTATTTCAATAATTCGCTTGACCAATGCATTTTTCTTTGATTAGCCTACAAACCGAAATCAGAGAGGTGTTGGTATTTGGCCTGAATATTGTGTATCTTGTCACCTACCAGACCGTTCAATTCCTTTAATATCTTAAAGGAGCTAAGTCGCTAATATTTGGGACCTAGAAATTGACACAAATGGGTCGAAACGCATACAAATTAATAATGTAATGTATATAAATTGATTTACATTCAATCCTTTCTGTTTTTACTGTAATTTCTAATCAGTTAGGTTCGGCGAAATACGCCAGTATTCTCAATTAAATTTCAATCTCTAGCGTCTGGTTATTCCAGTCTAGGCCGATAGTATTTATTGGGCATGCTCTCCAGATAAGATGTAGCGTCACCGTTTGACATAACTTGTGGAATATGCCTAGCCTCGTTTTTCGAGTCCCTTATTACAGTCTGTCGGAAATGCAGTCTGGCAGTATTTCAGGCACTGTGCGCCAAAGTAAATGTCGGAAAATTTGGAAAATAAACAGCCGGCAATACAATCGTACAGTATTTAGGCACCGATTGTAGAGATAAATAGAATTGACCAGATACCGCCTGTCACCTGCAGGACTAGTTTATCCGACCAGAGAGGAATGTGTCAAACGAACAGACTTGCGAACCTCAACGAAGCCACCGAAAATTTGAAAAATAGACTGCCGGAACTGCAGTCTGGCAATATTCAAGTCACTGATCATCGGGATAAATAGAGCTTACCAGAAACCGCTTGTCGCCAAATCACTAGTTTATGATATCAGAGATAAGTGTCAAACGAAAGGAGTGAGTGAATCAAAGTGAATGAATATTTATCAGCTTTTTTAACTAAACTAAATCTTACATAATGCATCTTTAATAATATGATCATCTGTTACATGACTAAAACGTGATTTTTCGTACAATCAGGGGCCGATACAAAATGAAAGATTATTTCGAATATAAATTCTGTCACATGCAGTCTTTACAAACAATCTTAACTGACTGTTTGAAATGAAATCAAGAAATACTTGATAAGTGATCAAAATAAACTTATTTACGAAACTAAACAAATAATTCTTTTCATTATTCGTTAAGACAGTTCATATGCACATTATCAATCACTTAGAGATTGGCGCTCATTGATAAGTGATAAACAATCAGCAATAGGTCACAAATCAATCATAAGTAATCAATAATCGATTACTATTCCATAATCAATGATGATTTAATTCACTCATTGATTGTACGGGTATCAGTATATATTACGTGTGATAGCATAATGTTTTATTTCGTATCTTGTCTTCAGTCTTCTGCTTGTGTAATACATTTTTGTCTTTAAAACATGGATGTTGAAGTAAGAATATTTTCTTTTTGTTTTAAGTATATTAATTTGGTTTTAATTACACTGATTTCGTAATGGTGTTTATTTTCGTTAACGACAAAATCATGTTTTCCTTCTATTTCAGTTTAAGCTTCGAAAACCAGAAGGTCCTCGCCGTAGTCTATCTTTGAACATGCGGAGATGCATGGAAGAAAGTGAAATGAAGTCGTCGCCTACTTTATTGCGTAAATCAAACTGCCTAGTCCCAAATCGAATAACAAAAGAAAATAGACTAGTGCATGTTGTAGAAGAAGAAATGCGGGATAGAGATGCTGATCGTATTAAATTAGCCGTAGAAAGATTATCAGAAAGTGGAGAATTGATAGCTGATTGTAGCAGACCATACACCCTTCCTACAATATGTGGCAAACATAAAGATCTCAAATCAATCACAACCCAAATAGTAAGTTATTAAAACTGATTGACCAAGTTATCCCCACTTCTGTCTCAATAAGCCTTTATCTGCAGGAGATCGTTAAAGAATATTAAACATGTGACAAAAATACTTCATTCCGTAAATTTTACAATATGTGTATCCAATATTCATTTACTTTTTTTTACAGCTTACAGATCTATTCGGCGGAGAGTATAACCAATTTCATACTAGCTTCACAATCATCGACTGTAGATATCCATATGAATATAACGGAGGACACATACAAGGCGCAGTTAATATTTATACGAAACAATCTATTGATGTTTTATTACAACGATCAGAAAAAAACAGACCCCAGATTCTTATCTTCCATTGTGAATTTTCATCCCAGAGGGCCCCTACATTGTAAGTAGATTATAAACCAAACGTTCTATTCAAAATCATTGGTTTTTCCATATAAAACACAGAATAATTCTTTCAATTTGAAATATCTCAACAAAGCAAGGCCTTGCATTGATAAACCTGCTAAAAAGTGAAAAAAAATGTTTCTTTCAGATTACGTTACTTGAGATCACAAGATCGTGTGTTAAACTCTCAAAACTATCCAAGATTATACTACCCAGAAGTCTATATTCTACATGGAGGCTACAAAACCTTCTACGAACATAATCAGGTACATTTTTAACAATTCAATTATCTGCTTAAATTGACGTAACTCAAAGTATGGAGGAGTTTCAATATTTTATAAATACTAACTCCTTCAATACTCATCTCCATGTCATTCTTTGCTGTTAAGATATTCAGTGATTTAAAAGTATATGTCCACCTACATTTAAAGCAAATGCTAAACGGCTTTGAATACGGAAATACACTGCTTAATATCGATGAGCATTTTTAAAGTTCTTTTTTACAATCTTCACAATTATATATTTAGGATTTGTGCCATCCATCTAGTTATGTTCCGATGCTACATGAAGATTACAGATCAGAATTACATCATATTCGCACGGTAACCAAATCACAGACGGAAAGAGAGAAAACAAGAGGAAAAAGTAAAACAATGTCACGTGTTGTTAGGTTTTAAACTGTAATTGTTATTTATATAAATTTGTTACGTTTGAAATTGATTTTACTGTAAATATTGTTGTTCTGTTATAATTTATTTTGTAAATGTGAATAAATCAAAAATCTTCAAAAGTAATAAATCAGGTGAAATGTATTCTGTGAACGCTGGATTGCTTCAGCATTAAGGAATCAAGTTATTGGAACCGTATCATATTACATGTACAATGTAATCCACTGGAATGTTTGAAAGCATTTGTTCTGGATTAAAGGCTCAATACCACTCTTGTTGTAACTGAATAATATGTCCCAATCTTTATTCTGGTCAACAAATTGCATGCACTATTTTACAATATCCCAATTAATTGATGATACAAATTTCATCTTAACACACCTAATTTAAAAAATTGGAAAAATTCAACTAAATGATTTGAAAAGCCTGACGTAAAGCTTTTCAAATGTGACTTGGATTTAAAAATATTTTTGAACCCTCTGGACAAGTAAAATAGGATTTAATGGATAATTTACACAAAAGGTAGGACACTAACACATCTATTACTTAGAATAAGGCTATTTTTTATTTTCTGGAGCTGTCAAGCCAGCAAGAGTGGTATTGTCCCTTTAAGTGTTTTGCAAATGTCCACTTTTCGTAATTCGCATGCTAATGGCATCGAATATATTTAGAAAAATCGAAATTGTAGAGCTATTCAGATACGCCTTGTGATTTTGAAAATAATTTCAAATTCTCTGATCTGTTAAGATATTAAAAGACTTAAACGGACTGGTAGGTGACAAGATACACAATATTCAAGCCAAATACCAACACCTCTCTGGAGCTGTCAAGCCAGCAAGAGTGTTATTGTCCACTGTGTTTTGCAAATGTCCACTTTTCGTAATTCGCATGCTAATGGCATCGAATATATTTAGAAAAATCGAAATTGTAGAGCTATTCAGATACGCCTTGTGATTTTGAAAATAATTTCAAATTCTCTGATCTGTTAAGATATTAAAAGACTTGAACGGACTGGTAGGTGACAAGATACACAATATTCAAGCCAAATACCAACACCTCTCTGATTTCGGTTTGTTGGCTAATCAAAGAAAAATTCATTGGTCAAGCGAATTATTGAAATAAAATTGAACCATATGTTAGTCAAGAAATGACCTAATTTATGTCGAGTGGACGATAAACTCCCCCCCCCCCAACCCTCTCTCTCTTACACACTCACTCTCACACTCTCTCTCTCAATCTCACTCACTCATATTAATAGTAGAACGTCCGTGTTATAATAATTATCGCAGTAGGCCTACTCTAGACTTCCTATCGAAGATACATCAAAATGTATTTGGTAAATATAAACAATATCAAATAATAAACGCAACAAGTGGAAAATGTCTTCTAGAAAAATTAAGAATAGCCTGTCACATGCAGTGACGGAGCGAGCCGCCGGTGGTTGGAGGGGCAAAGCTGGGGAAAAGTCCAAGGTTAAGTGGTACGGGGGGGGGGGGGCTCGTCCAGAAATTTTTGAAAAACAGTCTGTCGGAAATGCAGTCTGGCAGTATTTCAGGCTCTGTGCGCCAAAGTAAATTTCGGAAAAATTTGGAAAATAAACAGTCGGAAATACACTCGTACAGTATTTAGTTACCGATTGTAGAGATAAATAGAATTGACCAGATATCGCCTGTCACCTGCAGGACTAGTTTATCCAACCAGTGAGGAAAGTGTCAAACGAACAGACTTGCCAACCTCAACGAAGCCACCGAAAATTTGAAAAATTGACTTCCGGAACTGCAGTCTGGGAATATTCCAGTCACTGATCATCGGGATAAATAGAGCTTACCAGATACCGCTTGTCGCCAAATCACTAGTTTATGATATCAGAGATAAGTGTCAAACGAAAGGAGTGAGTGAATCAAAGTGAATGAATATTTATCAGCTTTTTTTTACTAAACTAAATCTTACATAATGCATCTTTAATAATATGATCATCTGTTACATGACCAAAACGTGATATTTCGTACAATCAGGGGCCGATACAAAATGAAAGATTATTTCGAATATAAATTCTGTCACATGCAGTCTTTACAAACAATCTTAACTGAAATGAAATCAAGAAATACTTGATAAGTGATCAAAATAAACTTATTTACGAAACTAAACAAATAAATCTTTTCATTATTCGTTAAGACAGTTCATATGCACATTATCAATCACTTAGCGATTGGCGCTCATTGATAAGTGATAAACAATCAGCACTAGGTCACAAATCAATCATAAGTAATCAATAATCGATTACTATTCAATGATCAATGATGATTTAATTCACTCATTGATTGTACGGGTATCAGTATATATTACGTGTGATAGCATAATGTTTTATTTCGTATCTTGTCTTCAGTCTTCTGCTTGTGTAATACATTTTTGTCTTTAAAACATGGATGTTGAAGTAAGAATATTTTCTTTTTGTTTTAAGTATATTAATTTGGTTTTAATTACACTGATTTCGTAATTGTGTTTATTTTCGTTAACGACAAAATTCTGTTTTCCTTCTATTTCAGTTTAAGCTTCGAAAACCAGAAGGTCCTCGTCGTAGTCTATCTTTGAACATGCGGAGAGGCGTGGAAGAAAGTGAAATGAAGTCGTCGCCTACTTTATTGCGTAAATCAAACTGCCTACTCCCAAGTCGAATAACGAAAGAAAATAGACTAGTGCAAGTTGTAGAAGAAGAAATGCGGGATAGAGATGCTGATCGTATTAAATTAGCCGTAGAAAGATTATCAGACAGTGAAGAATTGATAGCTGATTGTAGCAGACCATACACTCTTCCTACTATATGTGGCAAACATAAAGATCTCAAATCAATCACACCCCAAATAGTAAGTTATTAAAACTGATTGACCAAGTTATCCCCACTTCTGTCTCAATAAGCCTTTATCTTCAGGAGATCGTTAAAGAATATTAAACATGTGACAAAAATACTTCATTCCGTAAATTTTACAATATGTGTATCCAATATTCATTTACTTTATTTTACAGCTTACAGATCTATTCGGCGGAGAGTATAACCAATTTCATACTAGCTTCACAATCATCGACTGTAGATATCCATATGAATATAACGGAGGACACATACAAGGCGCAGTTAATATTTATACAAAACAATCTATTGATGTTTTATTACAACGATCAGAAAAAAACAGACCCCAGATTCTTATCTTCCATTGTGAATTTTCATCCCAGAGGGCCCCTACATTGTAAGTAGATTATAAACCCAATGTTCTATTCAAAATCATTGGTTTTTCCAAATAAAACACAGAATAATTCTTTCAATTTGAAATATCTCAACAAAGCTAGGCCTTGCATTGATAAACCTGCTAAATAGTGAACAAAATTGTTTCTTTCAGATTACGTTACTTGAGATCACAAGATCGTGTGTTAAACTCTCAAAACTATCCAAGATTATACTACCCAGAAGTCTATATTCTACATGGAGGCTACAAAACCGTCTACGAACATAATCAGGTACATTTTTAACAATTCAATTATCTGCTTAAATTGACGTAACTCAAAGTAAGGAGGAGTTTCAATATTTTATAAATACTAACTCCTTCAATACTCATCTCCATGTCATTCTTTGCTGTTAAGATATTCAGTGATTTAAAAGTATATGTCCACCTACATTTAAAGCAAATGCTAAACGGCTTTGAATACGGAAATACACTGCTTAATATCAATGAGCATTTTTAAAGTTCTTTTTTACAATCTTCACAATTATATATTTAGGATTTGTGCCATCCATCTAGTTATGTTCCGATGCTACATGAAGATTATAGATCAGAATTACATCATATTCGCACGGTAACCAAATCACAGACGGAAAGAGAGAAAACAAGAGGAAAAAGTAAAACAATGTCACGTGTTGTTAGGTTTTAAACTGTAATTGTTATTTATATAAATTTGTTACGTTTGAAATTGATTTTACTGTAAATATTGTTGTTCTGTTATAATTTATTTTGTAAATGTGAATAAATCAAAACTCTTCAAAAGTAATAAATCAGGTGAAATGTATTCTGTGTAAATATAAACAATATCAAATAATAAACGCAACAAGTGGAAAATGTCTTCTAGAAAAATTAAGAATAGCCTGTCACATGCAGTGACGGAGCGAGCCGCCGGTGGTTGGAGGGGCAAAGCTGGGGAAAAGTCCAAGGTTAAGTGGTATGGGGAGGGGGGCTCGTCCAGAAATTTTTGAAAAACAGTCTGTCGGAAATGCAGTCTGGCAGTATTTCAGGCTCTGTGCGCCAAAGTAAATTTCGGAAAAATTTGGAAAATAAACAGTCGGAAATACACTCGTACAGTATTTAGTTACCGATTGTAGAGATAAATAGAATTGACCAGATATCGCCTGTCACCTGCAGGACTAGTTTATCCGACCAGTGAGGAAAGTGTCAAACGAACAGACTTGCCAACCTCAACGAAGCCACCGAAAATTTGAAAAATTGACTTCCGGAACTGCAGTCTGGGAATATTCCAGTCACTGATCATCGGGATAAATAGAGCTTACCAGATACCGCTTGTCGCCAAATCACTAGTTTATGATATCAGAGATA